TCAAATCACGGGTGGTGCTGAAGGTAACCAGGCGTAACAATACGGTGTTCCACGTAGGACAAGGGGTGAAGTTAATCTAAAATAAAACCAAAAGGCAGTTTAATAGTTTATGGAGGAAATTGTGTGTTTAAAATACAAAGTTTAAACACAAAAACGATTACCTTAGGGCCACTTTGGTAGAGCTTCACTTCTTGATTCTCCGAAGAAGTGATTCTCGGGGAGCAAGGTGGGGAGCAGGTGAGAATCAATTCTAAAGTGATTTCTGTGACAAATGAATGGGGAGCAGTGGAAAGCAGTGGAGAGCTGGTTTTTTTAGCTCCTAGCGCTCAGTAGTATAAATGAAGAAGTGGTTCTTGCAGCTTCTCACAGAATCTAGTTGCATTTAAAGTGTCTGGCAGGATTCATGGAAGCTAAGAGATCCTTAGTAGTCATGTGTTGAAACTGATCCTAAAAGAAAATTTTGAGAACTAAATGGCTATTTAAAAAATTCAGGATGAAACAAAGTTTTGGATGATACTTGAGAGATCAAAGTAACTATTTCGCCTCTCAGCTACTACTACCTTAGACAGTGGTATTGACCTAGAGATCGCGTTTGGGTCACGCAAAGCCGGATCGGCGAGGAAGAAGAGACAGGAGTTGGTGGCTTGTGGTTCCATCTACAGAGAGATGACGGCGGGGCCCAAGGAGAAGGGTGTGTTTGACTATTTGACTATCGCTGCCGCACCATGTGATATATTTGACCGAAGATGAAAATATCTGTCCATCCCAAAACGAATTCAATTTAACTAGATTTATAAAAATATGATATCAATATTTATACATTTTTGTTATGAGAATCATAAATATAGCTCGAATATATTTATTATCCAAATTAATTTAATCATACTTAATAGATATATTAATATTTTTATATATTTGATCAAACTTAAAACCTTGACTTTTTAAAAAGCAGTATAATATATTTTTTAGGATGGAGGGAGTCACTTTTTCGTCCATCAGGCTATCCAATGCATCTCACTATCTCCTATCTACATCTCACTGTTGCCATCTTCAAGTTTTCAATATAAATCCAACGTTTTGCTCAAAAAAAATCCAACGTGAGACTAGATTTCTGATCCAAAGCAATTCAAATCTAACATGAGACCGTGTTTCGAACAATGTGCATCTAGATCTAGCCATGATATGGAGTCTAATTCCAAGACGTATCAGGACAAATGACATAATCATTGCATAAATCTCCGAGTGCAAGTTGACCGGGTGACCACGCAACAAACTATATATTTTACAATGCATAGCGTACTTGCTAGTGTATAAGGATCATCATCGTCGGCCCTAATAAACTGTTGGTGATATGGTAGGCCGGTATTGATGATCAAGACATCACCACCGGATCAAACGACACACTAGTGGTAATGAGCACTTTATCACCGGTGGATCGTATGCTGGATTGGTGGTGATGAGCCTTTCATCCTTCATCACTGCTGTGGATCGTGTGATAAAGAGGACATCACGCACCATGGGGTCGTACATCCGATTGGCTAAGATGATTTATTATATTATCACTACTGGTTTTGAAATCTTCCACAAACAACGACCTAGGCTGACAGTGAAAGAGAGTTACGACCTAGGCCGGGTGGTGGCCCAGTGCCTGGCATGGCCTGCTAAAAGATCCCCACCCCTCAGCCCAGCCCACTCTATTCCTAACCCTAACTTCCTATTCCCAGCCCACTCCCCACTCCCCCCGCACGGCTGCGCCGCACTCACAGCATCAGCGACCGCGCTCGCCTCGCCTCGTGTGGCCGTGTCCCGCCCCGGCTCGCCAGTCGCCTCATCGACGCGGCCGGCTTCGAGCATCACCGTCAGGCTCCTCCACTCCCCGCGCCACGTAGAGCTCCGCCTCCTCCATGCCCCCAGCTCGTCCAGCCTACTGCTGCTCTCAGCCTCGCAGGTCCGGCTGCCTTCTCCACAATCGCCTCCTCCACTGTGCCTGCTACTGTTCCATCCTCGCGGATCAGGTCACCTCCTCCACGACCACGCGCACCGGCCTCGACCTCTCCTTCCTGGCTCGCTGCTGTCGCCTCCATCCCCCCACCTCTCTCGCAATGGGCCGTCCGGTCAGCACGAAGCCCAGGCGGCATGGCCCGATGTCACTCCGGGCCCTGCTGTGCCGCCGTGCACAGCATGGGCCCGCCCGTGCCGTGCCGGGCCGGGCTGGCCCGTTGCCCATCTGTACCAACGAAGCGTTGTTTCATGATCCATGCGTTCTAACTCTTTAAGATGTGGGGCCAATCTTTACGTCAACTCTGTCTTTTGCTACTAATTCTTAGCATTGTACTGGTTTCAAAAAAAATTTAACATTGTACTATATAAAGAAACTTAGTCTCTTCTTTGATTGACGCTTTCCTTCTGAACCACTGAACCACACAAAAAGTCCAATAATGCTGTTACCTGTCTCTGATGAGAGGTGTCCCAATCACGAATAACGCTGCCCCGTTCAGTGGGTTAGAATAATTCTGGGCTTGTTTTTTATTCGAGGAATCATTATATTCTAGACTAGATGAAATGACAAGTCTTGAGCTCGTCAGATGTGAATTTAGAGAAATGACTCAAGTCTTTGAGGTTACTATTGACTTGGGGTACGTAGGTCCAAAACGAGAAATACGAGCATCATGCTTTCATGGCTGCTTCCATGTCATCTCCGTCAACAACTCACACTCAATGCTCCCATGTCTTTCACGCCAAGAGTTGTGTGGTCGTTGATTATCGTGTGGTATCCGTCCATATCTACAGGCCGGTCTTTTGACTTTTAGTTTGTGAGTACTCCAAGTATATTTTACTCGAAAATTTCAATTTCTATTTGTGCATAGGACTAGTTAGTTTAGTCTGTTTAACACATCCTCAGCCTGGAACAGTCATTTTGTGTGTATATAAATAAATGTTAATAATGTGCTATCCGATTTAATGCCAAATCTATGGATGACGTCAGGGATATTGGTACCTAATGATGGTCACCCATTTCAAATCACGGGTGGTGCTGAAGGTAACCAGGCGTAACAATACGGTGTTCCACGTAGGACAAGGGGTGAAGTTAATCTAAAATAAAACCAAAAGGCAGTTTAATAGTTTATGGAGGAAATTGTGTGTTTAAAATACAAAGTTTAAACACAAAAACGATTACCTTAGGGCCACTTTGGTAGAGCTTCACTTCTTGATTCTCCGAAGAAGTGATTCTGGCGGGGAGCAAGGTGGGGAGCAGGTGAGAATCAATTCTAAAGTGATTTCTGTGACAAATGAATGGGGAGCAGTGGAAAGCAGTGGAGAGCTGGGTTTTTTAGCTCCTAGCGCTTTAGTAGTATAAATGAAGAAGTGGTTCTTGCAGCTTCTCACAGAATCTAGTTGCATTTAAAGTGTCCGGCAGGATTCATGAAGCTAAGAGATCCTTAGTAGTCATGTGTTGAAACTGATCCTAAAAGAAAATTTTGAGAACTAAATGGCTATTTAAAAAATTCAGGATGAAACAAAGTTTTGGATGATACTTGAGAGATCAAAGTAACTATTTCGCCTCTCAGCTACTACTACCTTAGACAGTGGTATTGACCTAGAGATCGCGTTTGGGTCACGCAAAGCCGGATCGGCGAGGAAGAAGAGACAGGAGTTGGTGGCTTGTGGTTCCATCTACAGAGAGATGACGGCGGGGCCCAAGGAGAAGGGTGTGTTTGACTATTTGACTATCGCTGCCGCACCATGTGATATATTTGACCGAAGATGAAAATATCTGTCCATCCCAAAACGAATTCAATTTAACTAGATTTATAAAAATATGATATCAATATTTATACATTTTTGTTATGAGAATCATAAATATAGCTCGAATATATTTATTATCCAAATTAATTTAATCATACTTAATAGATATATTAATATTTTTATATATTTGATCAAACTTAAAACCTTGACTTTTTAAAAAGCAGTATAATATATTTTTTAGGATGGAGGGAGTCACTTTTTCGTCCATCAGGCTATCCAATGCATCTCACTATCTCCTATCTACATCTCACTGTTGCCATCTTCAAGTTTTCAATATAAATCCAACGTTTTGCTCAAAAAAAAATCCAACGTGAGACTAGATTTCTGATCCAAAGCCAGTACAATTCAAATCTAACATGAGACCGTGTTTCGAACAATGTGCATCTAGATCTAGCCATGATATGGAGTCTAATTCCAAGACGTATTAGGACAAATGACATAATCATTGCATAAATCTCCGAGTGCAAGTTGACCGGGTGACCACGCAACAAACTATATATTTTACAATGCATAGCATACTTGCTAGTGTATAAGGATCATCATCGTCGGCCCTAATAAACTGTTGGTGATATGGTAGACCGGTATTGATGATCAAGACATCACCACCGGATCAAACGACACACTAGTGGTAATGAGCACTTTATCACCGGTGGATCGTATGCTGGATTGGTGGTGATGAGCCTTTCATCCTTCATCACTGCTGTGGATCGTGTGATAAAGAGGACATCACGCACCATGGGGTCGTACATCCGATTGGCTAAGATGATTTATTATATTATCACTACTGGTTTTGAAATCTTCCACAAACAACGACCTAGGCTGACAGTGAACGAGAGTTACGAACCAGCGGTGATGAAGTTTCTATAGTACTATGTGTAGGTTAGTCGACAGACTTGACCGCGTGAAGAATAGTACACCGTAGAAAAATTTATGGCAGGTTGGCAACCTTTGCCATCATTTCCACCGTGTTTCCACAGCAAAGACAATTGACATTCGGCACACATGGCTGAGCTAATGGCTCATATAGCCCTGCCTTCACATCGTTGTATAAAGCAAAATGCATGCTTGGGTCTGGGCGGCTGTATAGATCGAGAGACTAGTTTGCTTTGCAATCTCCAAGGCTCAAAGCAATTCTACCTTACATAAACCACAGATTTTATATTAGGCAAAGAAGAAGTTGGAGCTGAGCCGACATGGCAAAGCTCATGAATCGCTCCGTTGCTCTAGGAGTCATGATTCAGCTGCTCCTACTTGCACTGCTGGGAACACTATCGGTGCTGCTGGCATCGAGCGTCGTCCTGGCAGCTGCAGGCCAACAACAGGGGCCCTCCGCCGCCACCCTCGGCAGTTGCCCGACGAGCTGCGGCAACCTAACCTTCGACTACCCCTTCGGCATCGGTGCTGGTTGCTTCCGGAACCTAGACTTCGAGCTCATCTGCAACAACTCTGTTCCTGTTCGACCCCCTGTGCTTTCTTTACGCGATGGCATCAGCCGGGTGACCTATAATATCGTCACTGCCTATGCCGGGGCTCGCTACGACTACCGTGGTGAAATTGGTATCGCCCTAACTTACACCATCCCTATTACAAGTGGTGTTGATGTCTACAACATTTCGTGGACTTCTCCTGGGAAATCCTTCGCTCTTTCTTACGCAAGGTTTAATGTCACTGGTTGCGGATTTGATGTGTACCTTGATGATAGGGATACTAACACAATGGTGCGCCGCTGCACGCTTACATGTCCTGAGCAAATCACGGAGGCGGTGGCCAGGCAAAACTGCAATGGTACTGGATGCTGCACCGTGAATTTGGAGGCAAATATTCGAGCCTTTGGGCTCAACTTCGTACGACACAACCAGAGCAGTGTCGTTCATCAGGTGCAGCCTAATCGGAGCTCTTTATGGGATTACATAAACGCAACTACACTTTATGCCGACCTCAGTTGGAACATCATCGATCAACCAAGCTGCGCCAGCGCCAAAGAAAACAATATTACCAACTATGCTTGTGTTGCAAATAACAGCCGGTGTATTGACAGCGAAGAATCATTGGATTTCGGGTATTCTTGCCGGTGCAATCCTGGTTACATTGGAAATCCTTACATTCATAATGGCTGCTCCAAGGACACAGGTATATCATCTCTATAATTTTTCCATAACAAATATTACATGCATGAACTATTGTTTACGCTTCAGAGTCTAGGTAGATTTATCTGAGAAATAAAAACAAACCGTACATAATGTTAAATCATCTAATATTGAAACAAAATTAACCAATATTATATTTGTCGAAAAAACCGGAATTAAATGTTTGTTTTCAAGATTCGAACTTGAGACCTCAACAGGCATGTTCCCTCAAGGGCACATACTAGCTGAGTGTCGCGGGTTCGTAACCGCGGCGAGCATCGTGGTTGTCCATCGGAAGTCGATGTGTGGTCCTCTGGTGGCTCGGACACTCAAAACATGGAAGGGGCATAGCTCGATTTATCCTGGTTCGAGCTTCTCAGCCCTAAATTTAGCAGTACAGTGATCTTCATGTACGGAATGCCCAATCGGGGATTACAGCAGTGGAAATCGAGTGAGGTTGGTAGGGGATCGCTCGGTGCTATCCTAGAGTTCACCGGAGTTCCTCCTCGATCCTTCGGTATGGGATGAATCGAAACCCTCTAACTATCTTGGGTTTTGCTCGCTTGTTCTATCTCTATCTTCTGGGAGTCATCCCCATTTACAGGAGTCGCTCTTCCCCTTATATTCCAAGGAGGGCACGGTGTACAAGTCAGTTTCGTTCTAGTCTATGATCTAAGCACCGGGTGCATGAGTCCTCTGCTGCGGCGTTGCTAGACCTCGCCTTGACGTGTAGGGGGAGCCGGCAGCTGCCGCAACCGCCTCCTGATGCCGTTGTTGTCTCCATTCTGGCACTTGACCGTCAAGGGCTGCCTGCCACGGCGCTGTCTCCACCAGGTGAGCCTTCACGAGGCTTCCTTAGCCTGCAAGAGCTCCCACCCCGAGGGGCTGATGAGTGGGCCCGGAGCCCTTCTACCCTAGAGTTGGTGAAGTCATTTGTCCTAATGCGTCACGCTCGCTGCGTGACCCTAGGGAGAGAGTGGCCGGTAGGGCCTTGCATCCGTTGGATAGGCAGATGGTGTAGCATCTCCGTACCTGTCACTCTCCGGATGCCTGGCAGGTTCCTGAGCCAAACCCCGACCAAAGGTTCGGGCCGCCGGTTGTCATCCAAATGCTGGCCTGAGTATGCGCTAGGTCGAGGTCAGGCTCGGGCTGCCGTCGCTCGACGGCCTAAGGCCATGGCCAAGCCCCCAAGCCCTGAGCAGTGGCTGTGAGCATGCCCGGGATCGCCCTGACTCCTTCCCAAGGGTATGCATGAGTGGACCCGATGGGCATAGCTTTGTTAGTATTTCTTATGCTCATGTACAATATTCTGCAAGCGCACAAAATACTGTTGCAGCATTTCATCCAGGAGTATTCCAGGGTATCGTATTTATCCACAGGGAAGCATTGGTTAAAAAAGGTGATAGTTAACCGTCATGTATCTACTAACTAGTATACCGACTAAACTAAAGTAGGGGTAAGTGATATACGATAAGATAGGATGACACACAAGAAGTTCTACTCATGGAAAGGTAAAATGAAAGGATAGCTAAATGGGAGGACAACGGGTGAGGGAGTTTCCTAAGTTCTTCTCTATCACAAAGGTTCTTTATTAGATATAGCTTAGCAACATAACTTGGCATAACAAGATTAATGAGCACACACAAAGCACTTCGAAGGTCTGTTTCGGTCAAGCATCACAAAAGATAACGTGTGCCGTTACAGCTTCAGGCCCTACGCTTTAAGAACTTGCCCAAACACGTGGTGGATTACAGAGACAAGATGGGGCTGTCACCACCCACTAGCTACCACACATCCGAGGAGCAAGCCGCAAACACGGGTATACTCTAGCCTAAGCACCACGCTTACACTATCGTATACTACTCTAGTTCCCTAGTTAAGGAAGATCAAACTAGAGCACTCAACTAAGAGCAGTGAACCCACACAAAGGTGTGAACATTACTCTAATTATACTAAATATATACTACTAAGACTACAGTAACGCAACCAAAAGTATTACTACAATAAAGGTATAGTAACACTTATGCTAGCAAGATAAGTGAATAAAGAAGATACAAATATATTGCATAGAAAGTAACATATTGGAATAAGGAAAGTACTACAAGAGAGATACAAAGCTATACCAGACTCCTGAAGACCGCTCCAGACTCTAGGAAGAGCTCCTCTTCACTCTAACTCCCACTAAAGCTCACACTAAGTCTACACCTTGAGAGTAGAGAGAGTTTCTCTTGTGGTGTGTGTTACAAGTGAGGAGTGAGGGTCTTATTTATAGTGGAGAGGTGGAGTAGGGGCTACTCCTTCGCCACGTCATGGATCCGTGGGTGAGCATCTCGCAACCCTTGGATCAAACCGCCTCAAACCAATGCTTGGGATTGCTCTAATTTGTGCTTGTTTGCATCCAAAGCTGAGGCGGTGGGGTGAAAGTGGAGCGTCGGCCGATGCTCCATTCCATCGACCTTGCAAAGCAACGGCGTGGATGCACTCTTGATGGCTGTTGAAAGCCAACGTTCCTTGTCTGAGGCGGTTTGGTGCACCTTGGGCGTGGTCGACGTGGCTTGGAGCCTTTTGCCATCGATCTTGAGGCGGTGTGCTCATCTACGATATTTTGGAATGTTGATACGAAGTATGGTGCAGTTTGGAATTTCCTTCCTCCGGTTATGGACTCATCTTTGCTTGTGTTGGATTGGGCCACCTTGTCTGGGCTTTCCCGGACCCCATGTGATCCAATGTGGTGAACAAGGCTTCCCATGGACTCCTGGGTTAGTGTAGAGGCCCTAGACCAAGTTTGACAAGGTTTGGGCTCAGGTTAGGGTCGCCCGACGTGTGTCCACGTCGCCCGACGTCCTCAGTGCCCAAATCCAGCCCGACCCATCTTGCGATCTTCCGGAAGGCAAAACTTTGTCATCCGGACTCCGAATTGGGTGAATCAAAACTTCATTTCATGTATCTCGACGAGCACTTTGACATGGTGCAGTCAAAATGGGAATTTGATGAAGTCTATTTACCATGTATATAGCCATCTTGTTCTTACACTCACATGGTCATCACAACTTGTGGAAATGGTTAGAAATAAGCCCTATAATATCACCAAATTAGGCATGGTTAATGGTACAAAATTGATGTTTAAGGAGCATCAGCAAGCTCTCGAGCCCTCGAGCGATCTATGGGATCGGTCGGGGGTCCGTCATCGGTTTCCTTTCTCCCGGAGACTTAACATACCTGTAGGATCTCTGGTTAGCCTAGAGGGGGTGAGTAGGCCTGTTAAAACAAACTTAAGCAAATGTTAAATTCCACTCCATGGCACTATCGCTCTGAGCCCGTGGCACCTCACCTGCAGACAACTTCAAGGCACAATTCAAAATCCGTGTATGGAAACTTAGATCAGAGAAATCACTGAGGTTCCTGCAGGTATGTAGTTCACCGATCGACAACTAGAAGTGGTAGGAACACAATACACAAGTAGATCAGCCACAAACCCTAGAAATCACCTCAACAACAATTTGAAATGCAAGTGAAGTAAATCGAGCACAAAGTGACACAAGGATTTATCCCATGGTTCAGCTCGCCACCAAGGCTTGCCTAAGTCCATGTTATTGAGGTTAGCCACTAAGGCTTAGGGCTTTGCAACCCTTCCTTGTTCTCAAGTCTTACCCATGGCAATGCCGCTCTGCGGCATAGCCGCGCCTCAAGTGCAGCACTGCCGCAAAAAGCATGACAGCAGAGATAAAAGAATGTTGAGCAAGCTGTCAAGGTTGAACTTTTGAGGATGCTTGTGAGTAAGATTGAGCACTTGGTAGCACAAGTTGGCTTAAGCATTGTGTTCCCATTTATAATATGGCTTTTCCTATACTCAAATTCGAAATATAAATGAATATAAACCTACTTTGAGTTTGAAGCCATCAACATTTGTAATTGGGGGCTCCTCCGTTTTGTATGACATCCTCAATTCTAAATTCCCTGCTTGTCATCTTGATAAATCTCATTAGTCCTCTAATTGAGCGGTCATTATCACCAAAACCTACAATTAGGGCTTGATTGCACTATCAATACCCCAATGCTAGACTCTCATCAGGTGGCCCCGAGCCCTTCTTGGCGTTGTAGGTCGCTTTTGGGATGGAAATGAGGGGTTGTATCTGACGTTTGTTGAACAGGTTGGTCGGGGTACCCCGAGTCCTGGTGGCCCTTGGTCGGACTCCCCTTTATGGACACCCGAGGCTTTAAGCGTAGGTCCGGCTTCTGAGCCAGTTGATGCTGGGATTGAGCATTGCTTAGGGAGACCCGAGCGAGGGCCAGGATGACCCATCGAGGGGTCGTTAGCTCTGGGCCCGTATGAGGTGCCCTGCTTACCTTGGTATGTTGTGGGTCGGGCAATGGTGCTTCTAGCCCTGGCTCAGTGCCAACTCGTTGCTCGTCACGCCACACCTGTCTGTCGAGTCGATGACAGGCCTCCTTGGCTCAAGTCACACCAGGCAATGGTCGCGGGTGCTCTACATGCCCTAGGCTTCGATAGCCTTTGGTGGGCCCGTCACTAAGTGTCCTTTGCTCTTACCTCTTCTACGCCCGTGAGCGGTCACAGGACGCCAGTCAGTCGGGCCCCAAAATTCCTGTCAGAGGGGCTGGTGCAACTCCCGAGGCCGTCATGGGGCCAGTTTATCAGTTGGAGGGGCGGTTTCTCCAAGCGCCCTTCCCGCTGACGCTCAGTGCAGTCTTTTGATATTCCTCGGTTGTCGCACTGGCAGGTTAAGTTAACGCGCTCGGTGCCCCATGCTCCGTGAGGTGCAAACCGCTGTGCCATGCGGCGATGATGCTAGGGCTGAGGTGCTGCGGCATTTTGAACACGTGGATCTAGGGCGTCGATCCCGCGCGGAGGGCTCGAGAGGAGGCGCGTCCCCTCAAATCCCGCGCTGGGGCGTGCGCGTGGCTGGCGTCACTGGCATGTGACAGTCGGGCTGCCGTGTCATGAAGCCCACAATCTCTTGGTGCTGTGACCATTTAGACTAATGGTTGCATGGTCAAACAAT